CGGGTGACACGACATGTGTGCCCATTCTTGTCTCATTTTTGGGACGGTTTTAGTGAAAGAAGGGTTCTTTTAGTCGGTTCTCAGAATATCAGGCTTGAATGCAAAGTTTTTCTTTACTGTAAGTAATGTGTTAATCATGTGTTAAGTCAGCACTTAAAAGTATGATTTGGGGAGTACCGCTGGGTTGCACTCGAGATTGCTCGCGTATAATAAAATTCATGGCATTTACCCATCAGTTACCGCAGTTCTTACTACTAATCGGAACAAAGAATCTCGATTTAAGTGTACCGTGAAAGTGTGAAAGCCATGTTGTGGCGACCTAAGAGATTCTTTCACCCAATTCCGTCCCAGAAAAAACTACAGAGATCGTCAGAAGGAGCTTAGAGCTTCTGATATAAGACAGTTTAACCATGTCGTTAATGTCAAAAGTAAAAATATTACGACCAGCGTCAGGGTCCACAGTAAAAGTTGCACACGTCTATAACTGCGACCGCCTACTATGCGTAAAAATTAAAATCCTTCCTACAAAAGAAAAGGTCCATTTCTAGTAGCCATACGTAGTGTTATACGTGTTAATAAAGAAAAAGAAATTTCAGAACGAAATTTTATGTGGTACAATTACGCTGCAGCTATATGATGACTGCAGCACGAGAGGCTCGGTTCAACCGTGGAGAAACCACTCTCTTAACAAATACCAGCGTGAGATAACTGCATGTTTCTTGTGGTGAATATACGGAGAACATACACCTGATGCTGTGACCTATGTGAGCTCTTGGTTATTCTACTCTTACAAAAGTATTGATAAATTATCCGATCGTGCTGATACCGTTCAGCCTGCAAAATTACGATGTAATCAGCAATGAAGGAAAATTACGTCAGTTTCCCTAGAAGCGTTACGGACTCCCATAATCCATTTGAATTAAAAAAATAATGGATAAAAAGAAAAGTATTATTCATTTATAAGCGATTCATAGCATAAGCGAAGTTAGTTTTTTACTTTCTAAAATGATATTTTATGGAGCAGAGGGGAACTCGCCACATGTTACTTTAATGTAAGACTCTACATGTTCTCGATGTATATTCATATAACGTGTAAAATCTTTTTTGTAGAATTATGGTGACAAACGAGCACACAGTTCACCCGATAGTAAGTGGATGCTGACAGCATCCACGTAGATGTCTGATAAGACATCTACGTGGATACGTCTGATAAGACATCTACGTCTATCTTCGATTACTGAATATGCAGGTGCGCTGTCACACCTAAAGACTAAGACGAAATTGTCTTCAGGGATGACCTCGTTTCCACAGAGCGTGGTCCTTCCCCGGTCGAGCCGACCCATTCGTGCTACAATCATTATATAGCTGCAGTATGGTTCCACCTTGTATGGGCACTACCACGTATATTTATAATATTCTGCTATGATTTCCATCAGTGATGTTATTCTTTTGTAATTATAAAGGAAGTTAAAGTAAACAACATTTATTACACGCCCCACTGCTGGGCATAGGCCTCGCCTGTTTCTGAGAGCTTTATCAGTGACGGAGTTACTATGACATACATATATTATTATTTTATATACACATTTTTTATTTCTCAGGCAAGATAGCTTTATGATATTTTTGTTTTCTTCAACGCCGAGCTTGTGGTAAATACGCACTTTGAATTGCAATTAACAATTTCATTGAACTCTTGCTCATGTACTGTGAAATTTAAGGCAAGCGATTACCCACTGGTATACCACAACTCTTATTAGATTTATGTGAGAAATATTTACAGGTAGTATCATTGCTTTGTATTTTTTGCTAAGAATAACGCGATGTCATAAAGAGGATGCAGAATATAATCTATATCTATGGGAAGGAAGTCTGAACACGAATAAAAAAAAAATAAAAGGACGAAAAATGTTGACATGTGTGCCATCTACTAACTAACCACTTTTTAAAATCACGTAACACGCTGAGGTGTTAACAATTACAGAAAGATAATAGAAATAAAACATTACAATTTAGAATAAAACTAATATAGCGGATTTTATCTGGTTAAATTTCCACTAACTTGAATTCCAGTTTGGGGCGCTTTACCGTAACCATGGTGTCGATCTCCCCGTGATGGATGCTGTAAAGAGCCCAGACTTCGAATTCTTTTTTAAATTAATGTGATAAAATTCGTCTATAGAAGTTTTATCCAGTGTGTAATATTCGCGTTAATTAAAATCATTATTTGCATCGTAGACCAGCATTTGTTTGCAAAATACCTATTGCACGAAGCATTGGTCAATGTGCAAGGCGTTTGGTACTGCGGCTGCAAATGCACTTGCCGATTGTAAAGATTCCGGCAAATTTACAAAACTCTTGTTATATAATATTAGAATAGAGGTTTCATCTGACAATGTGTTGTGATCAGTTTAATAGTTTTTAGTGAAAATCAAAAATTTATTTAATGTGATTAGAAAACTTGGTTTGTTGATGGTTTAAGGTTTAAACAATCAGTGATCTTTTTATAAATTTATGTAAATCGTAGCTTGAGCCCGAAACTTTCAAACCATATTGTGTAAAAAGACCGCTTATGTAATTGCTTCGGAATGTTCTTTGTACATTCATAACTTTTACTTATGATCAAGTTAATACTGACATATAATACGTAATTTAGGCAAAATTAATAATAATTAAATTAATGCATATGTACAAAGTATTTTTATACATGTATTACATAAGAATTTCCGGTATTTTCTTTTTATTTATTTTTTATAATTAGTTAGCTAGAAAGGTTTATTTAACTAAACATTTGTTTTTAACCGACTTCAAAAAGGAGGAGGTATTCCATTCGAATGTATGTTTTTTATGTGTATTACCTCGTAACATTTTCCTACGTGACTCGATTTTGATAATTACTTTTTTATTTGAAAGCTGGTGCTTCTCATGTAGTCTCATATTAATTTGGTTTAGGTCAGACTAGTTGTTTTTGAGTTATTGTTAATAATTTATATTAAAGTCGGTTTTACAAAACTTTTAATTTTACCACTTTTTTACACGTTTTCATCTGCATCGTATAGGTGCTTTACTTGTGTTGATTGCACATGGATAAACATCCAGACCATCCAGACCATGAGCATTACTTGTAGGACATACAAATATTAATTGTTCCGTGCGTCATTTGAACCCGCGATTGACTGCAGTGCCGCGGCCAATCGCTTAGTTACTGCGGCTATAAAAGCCGCCAAAAAGTAAATAATAATAAATAAGGATGCCAAAATTAATTATATGTAGATATTCATAACTTAATATTTATTTATTGAAAATTATATCCAGTTTTAATTTTTTTATTATTACAATATATTTAAAAAAATGGCTCAGAATTTATGAGAGCAAATATTCTTAAACTGAGAATTATAATTTTTTAACTTCCCGCTTTGAAAATTAATAATTTTCAGAGCTAGTTATAGATTTCGGTCAGATTTTGAGAATGCGAGTTTTCATCAGATATCCACGTTTTGAGGTCCTAGGAAGCCGTTCCGACTATTCCCGGCTGGACGTTCGGCCGTGTGTGTGTGTATTTATATATGTAAATAAAATTTTGTAGTACGATATCTTTAGAATAAACTAACCGATCGAGATGGGCGACCCTGCGTTCAAAAGTGAGACTTAATTGAGACTTCGAGCTGATTAGATTTTCAAGTCAATCTGTCGAGCTGTTTCAAAGATTTTCAAAAAATAAAAACCAAAAAAATAAGCAGGTAGTTCCAGGGATGGCCTGCAGGTTCAACCGTTTTTCAGATTTTTTATTTAAAAGTTTTTAGAATCAAAATCTAATTTCACTTGCATTGTTTAAAATTTTTAAATGTAAAATTTTTTATTGTAGGCTAATTAGAAGTTTGATAAAACTAATTTCTTTAATTCTTACAATTTAATAAATTAGTTTAATTATATAAAATAATTAAAACCAATTTATTTTATTAATTTATAGAATTTCACTTGTTAACATTCACTTATTTTTAATTTCTAACGTTTCTTCTACTTTACCTGACATATCACGCCCCCGTGAACATAAGTTTTAGTTAATGTGTAGTTCAGAAGTTTTTATATTATTTCAATACGTACATCATATCTAATAGTATACGCAATTTAAAAAAAAAACATGTCTGCAATTCACACGCCGTAAAAGTGAAACCTTAAGGAAAATAAACATCGAGAGAATGAGACGAATGCAGGGTGTCAGTAGTAGGATAATTGTTGAGTTTATTTATTATAATATTGATACCAAGTTGAATAATTATTTTACATTAGTTAATACATATTATATTACATAATAAATAGAATTCAAGTTTTTATTTCATCATCCTAAGTACTTTTAGTCCATATATTTTTTATTTAGTCCATAATCCCTGTTCATAAATCACATGCATAATCTCCATACATAATAGGAAACACTTTAAGTATAAAGTGTATATACAGTAGTATTCCATCTCAAATCTCGCGAAAAATAAATACTATAGATGTATATGCTTCTCAGTTTTTAATGTCGCTTTTTCGTTTCACCGACTTTGAAATCACAACGATACCAAATAAATTTTGCTTCAAAAATCGAAAATATTTACTAATATGCACTAATAAAATAAACATCTAACTCTACGTGAAAGGATAAAATTCGTAGAGTCATTTTAGTATATATTTTTTTTATTTCATACATGTGTAAGTAACAATTATTTAAATTGAGATTAATTAGTAGGTCGAGCTGTATTTATGGTTTTGTTACATTAATTAAAAACGCTGCGTGTAAAAGCACAATTAACAGACTACTTTAAAATACTTTCCAAAACAATTATACTGCTTAACCTTGAATTTATTCTACTTATTCAAAGTCTAAGTACTGAAACGAGTTAATAAAGATAAACCATAACGCATTAAAGATGGCTCAGTACTGAGTGTCTACGATGTAATAGTTTACAACAAGGTCAATGCAAAATACAATTCACGCCGTGAACTACAAACAGAATTACCCAGCCATTTCGGAGAGACCTTGCTGGACCACTGTCTTCTCTCATAAACGGGCTAACACCACGCCGTCGTGTCACCACTGCCATATAAATTCAATTTTCGAATTATCGCGAATCCGTGGAAAAACTAGAGGCGGTCGCGCGCATGCGCTCTTCACGTTGTACTGAACGACACGGAAGGTGCTCAGTATAGTGATAGGCAAACAATTGTTTTGTCGATATGTTTAATTAAATATTACGTGTTTTGCTTACAGTTAGCTTAGTCACATAGTATTTAATAACTGGGTTTATTGATAGTTTCCTTAGTGTTAATAAAATGTAAAACGATAGTGGTAATGATATGTTTTTTTTTGCTTATGTGTGCAACGTTAAGAGCTCGGTAGCGTAGTGAACTAAGCATTTAGAAGTGGCGTTATAAGGGCTGCGGGTTCCAATCCTGAAGTGAACAAGTAATTGCATGGCCTACAAATAACCGATTCGTTAGTTAGATCTAGATCCACGTGCAACTCATGTTCTGTCTTTCATATTTTTGACAAAACTTAACCAATCAGCTGCATCTAGTTGTAACCGGCTATACCTAGGAGTATACGCACTTATATATATATATATACTAATATACACCATCTCCAAGTTACAGGGGGCAATCCTAGTTTTAATACGTTTATTTAAAAGAAAAGTATTTTTCTTTTTAAAATAAAATTATTTCGAAAAGAAATACATTTAATATACATTTTAGGAATAAATAGTGAAGCCATTTTTAAATGAACTAACATATTATAAGTTACGTAAAGTCTTATTCGTCTAATGGCTGGGTTCTTCCCGGCTCATTTCTAAGAAGATCAATGATTTAAAAATAAAAAAAAACATCGATATGATACATCAGATACTTTAAAGAATAATTTAAAATTGAAGCAATAAAACAATATATAATTTATAATTTATCGACAAAGTACATCTCTATAAACATCGGCACAAGCTACGCTACGCCGCGTACGACACTGCTTGACTATGGAAATGACCGTCGGTGAAGTAAACATAAAAACAGGGGATAATTATCATCGCCGTGCTCACTGACCGTCACCGTGCATCGCTAAGTTATGTTATTAAGAAAATAAGGGATTTAAGATCCGTTGTTAACATTATTTACCAATTTTATTTTATTTATATTGTGTACAACCTTTACGTAAGAACCGTGTGGTGGTAGGGTAAGAGAATTTATTACCATTTTGTTCCGTGGGTGCCGTGTCGAAAAATCAGGCATTCATACTGCTCCCAATATTTTTTTTATAGGATAAGCGTGATAAGCGAGCATACAGTCCACCTTATGGTAAGTGGTTGCTGTGGCACATAGACATCTACATTTATCCTCGTTTGCGTATCTAAATGCAGATGCGTTGCCAGTCGTGAGGGCTAATATGGAATGCCTCTTTTGCAGTAAAAAGGATCTCCGGTTCTCTACACTCACCATACAAAACCCAGCAATATTAAGCTGCTATATTACGCTGATATTCTTTGAGAGCGTGGTCCTTCCCCGGTCGAGCCGACCTGATCGAGCTACAACTATACAATTAATATAGCTGCAGCATGACTCTACCACGTTTAAAATGGTTATATAACCGTTTTCGTTTCTTTACAACTGGGGTAATACACCCAGATCATCGGCTGGGAGCGACGTCAAAGATGAGAGTTGCGAGACGTTTGGTACTGCAATAGTTAATCCGCCTCCTAAGTGTGATGATTAAATCAAACCCTCCAAATAAAATGGTGATTTAGAAGAAAAGCCGTGGTAGCTCAGGGGTTAAGCGCTAGCTGTAAATTTCACAGTAACCAACCTGGGTTCGATCCCCGCCAACACCAATGATATTGTTAATTGAAATTTTAAAGTAAAGTAAAGGAAAGCATCGTGAGGAAACCTGCATCTCTGAGAAATAAGAAAAAAATATTTCGAAGACATGTGAAGTCCACCAACACGCATTAGGGCAGTGGGGCGATATTTCCTTGCCCTAAAACTCTCTCAGAAATGAGAGGAGGCTTTTAACCAGCAGTGGAACGCAACTTTAAGAAGAAGACGGAGAACCAACAAATAAGTACTTAACTATGGTAAAAGTAAATGTTGCCCATTTCCAAAAAACAAAATTAACGTCAATGTAGAATCATAAATATAAGTGTGCTGTAACTACTACGGAGCTTCATTGCCAGTTACTAGATCTTCTCTACGCATCACTGAGAACAACAAGAAATATTACATGCCTATAATATTACGTTAGATTCTGCAAGGATACATCATTGCTCAATAGAGGCAATTACACCAGTTGCATACTTCTAAAATATTTTATAATATAAATGTAACCGAGCCTACATTTTACATTAGTATATAGTAAGAGACTTTATGGGCCATGGAATAAACAACCTAGACAATCCAATCAACGAATGCTGTATTAATATTTCAGAAAACCTGAGAATTTGTATGAAATGGGACAATAATTGAATTATAACCTTTTTTTATTATTTTACCACTTCTAACAAACATAGTACAGTAGCATATTGATTCATAGAGATAGAAATAAATAAGGGTGTTACTACATACATTGATTTGATTGATTTGTGGTAACTCAGGGGAAAAGAAGTGCCAGGCTTCGATCCCCGCCAGCACATATGAAATTGTTAATTGCAATTTTAAGTGCTGATTTAACAAGTTCTTGATTATGAAGGAAACATCATGTGGAAATCTGCATGTATGAATGGCGAGAGAAATTATGTACACTGTTAAACGTCATTGTCACTTTCATTGGAATAAGAATGAATTAATTATATTCGTGATAACATTTAGTATTCTAGAACTCTATAAACGTCTCCCGTAATTGCTAACGACTATGTTGTATTTATTACAAGAGAGGTTAAACCACAACTCAGGGTGGAACGCAGTTACTAAGATATGGTTGTTCAAATCTTGAACACAACATAATATAGAGACTATAACTTCTCAGCTGTCAACCGGCCTCTATAAGGTTGGAGTAAAATAACGCGCGTATATCAAGCGCCTTCTGGAGGTCGATCGGCTCCTACGTATTTCAATGTACTAAATTGCCTCTTAAAACCATTATACTTAAGAAATAAAAGAAACTATACATTAGTGATAGCTGGCGTAACCGTGTAGTGACTGTGTAAGAACATCTTCTTATGGGTATGAGTATCGTAAGATGGGCAGAGAAAAAGTTAAATAGGAGATGGACACTAGCATTTCTTTAAAACAACTGAAAATGATAAAAAACTACGGTTGCTACCCCGTCTTCCAAGCGTAAATACTTTGGCAAAATCCTCCCTTTGAGGCAATCTTTGGAAGGCCTTTTAGCAATTTCTACGTAAGCATTCTAGTAACATTTTAAACCTTATTTTTAATTCTTATATGATTTAAGACTTTAAGGACGAATGCACCTTATTCCAAAGTGCGAACTTCATTTACATATGGTGCACGCTGCTTATATAGATCCTTTCGCTAATAATTCTAGCGGTAAAAATTCCATTCGGATATGAAAAACCCAATTTCAATAGCAATACCAATCAAATTTTGAGCAACATCACCAACAAAAGGATTCGAAACTGCGCTGATCAACATGCCAGCGCTGCTTTGTAAGTTTAAATCAGTTATACGAGTACTACGAGTAAAGTAGCCCTGACTACTCAGTGGATTTAAATCTGATAACATTTATTTCCCTGTAGTGGTTGCGTATGAGAACCATCTCATATCATTCCGTGGGTGTCGGCGTAAGAATATGACTGCCTCGTTGGTTAGGCTTCGAATCCCGGGTCGTGCCAAAATCAGTTATTGTTTTTTTTTGTTCAAGAAATTCTCAGTAGCAATGCAAAATAAGTAAATTCCTTAATTTGGCGATGTTTTACTCCCGTGCCTCAGAAAGCAAGTGAAGCCGCTAGTCCTGCGCCTAATGTCTCCCCGATCCTGTTTAATAGCTATCACATCGGACAATGAGCGTAAGGGCATAATTCCAATAACCCTTAATAATGCAAAATAATCAAAAAAAATCAGCGATTGCCAACCAGTCTGCCAAGCGTGACAACTTTGGCAAATTTTCCCATATAAACAGTAAAATATACTTGAGTAAAATAAAATTATTTGTGCGTATTTCAATACCGTGAATAAATTTTGCATGTTAATTGGAATTAAAGACTAGAAATGAGTTGAGGTGACTGAACTTTAGGCCTAGTCAGTTTTAACAGCTTATCATGTAGAGGATGACATGTAGGTCATGGTTGAATAAGGGCAAAACGTTCTCATTACACTCCTAGGGGGTCAAAATGACCAAAAACCAAAAAAAAATAAAAAAATCTTATTTCGGCTATAACTCCGCCTCCTTCGGAGGTTCTTACACAGTCTTTACTTGCCGCATCCCACTTATCAATAAATATAAACAGTAACATAATAAATACGCAATTAATGCAATACGTAAACAAATTCCTTCCACTTACACTATGGATGTTTGTAGTTAAATATTTTAACGCTGCCTCACATCCTCAACATAATGTCATGACGATGAAGTGATTTCATTTTTCACTCACGCATGAGATAACGTGTAGGTGTTATTATTGTTCGTTATTATCATAACACGTTTGATATTTTCAGCAATTTTCCGAATGAGTCTGTACTAATTATTGGTTGCAGTGAAAGCTGATGCATTAAATATTAAAATATACTAGTAATCGTCCAGTGGTGGCGATTCGAGCTTAGTTCATATTTTTTTTATATTTGTTTATTAAGCAAGTTGTGTTACACTTCCAAGTCTTAGTAATATGTATATGTATTATATATGCTTTTAACTCCACATTAATTTGTAAAACACGAATACATATTATCTCTATATATAAAAATCTATTGCGGTCCGTTAGTCTCGCAAAACTCTAAAAATGGCTTGACCGATTTTGATGATTTTTTTGTGTGTATTTGAGTTGGCCCCTGGATGGCTTAAGAACTCAATTAGACCCGGTAGGTGGCGCTGTCGAGATCCAGAAATCACCCGTGTAAAGTCGGGACGGATCGCAGTCTAATATAAATATACAAAATATTAAATAAA